ACCAATGTGTCCGTGCCATCCGCAAGCAGCACCTTGTAGAGCTCTTCGCCAGGAACATCATGAGCCACAGCTTCGAATGCTTGCCGAGCAACTTGTCGCTTGTTGGAGCCCACGGCCCACAGGTAGCCCAAGCGGTTCGAGCATAAAGTCCAAGAGGGGTGACCACAGCCTTGACACGGTCAAGGACGAAAGTTCACACAAAATCAATCCCTCAAACCAAAACGAGCAACACACCCCCTCGCCACTTTCAAAGTAACTAGGCTTTGATATTCCACAAAGCCTGCGCAAAAAATCTTAGCCCAGGAACCACGGCTTGAAGCCATCTGGGACTTCCAACCCTAATGGTAAACCCGAATGTGGTTCTACTGGACGGCCGGAGGTCTGTAACAGCCGCTCGCAGCAAGCCACATCGTGATTGCCGGCTGCTCCGCTCAGAATCGGCACGTATTTGCTCGGGTGCGCATTGCCGAACCCAAGAACACTCACCGCTTTGCGCTCCACATTGGTGCCGAATGAGCCCGCGTTCTTGCAGGCGTACGAGGTGGCGCCAGTTTGCAAGATGCGATTCAGCTCGCTTGCCATCTCCACTGGCTCAGTGCCCTTGCCACTGCTACTCCCGCTAATCAAGACCAGCATGCGTAAGAACCTATAGGACTCGTCCAAATTGATCAAGGTCGACATGTGCAATCTGCTGGCAGAGCCATCAGCATATTGCACTTGAGGCCATTCGCCGCTGCACCGTTGCAGGAAGGCCTGTTCTGTGAACATGGCTAGGATTCATGACTGCAACGGCGCGTCCCAGGAGTGGACCATACCCGGGATTGGTCCTTTGTCGGGACCACCGGGCAACCGGGCAAACCGGGCAGTCTTCGGAACCGGGCAACCGGGCAACCGGGCAGCCCTCAGAACCGGGCAACCGGGCAGCCGGGCAACCGCACAGCCGGGCAGGGGAGAAATGCAGCAATTTGCAAGAAGGCAAAAAGGACATTCCAAGAACTGCTTATTGAAGCTTACAAATAGATAACAAATTGCTACACTTCTGTCGCCGAGTCCAACGTTTACTGTAACAAAAGATCAGCAAGTTTTGCATTTTGTGCTTTCAGCAAGTCTATAGCCCATAGGGATTGGGCCCGGCGCTGTTGGGGGCACTTGCTGAATGTTGGATTTGAGAAATCAATGTCTTTAGTCTATAGTGCATCAGCGTAGATTTGCCTATAATCAAGACTAAAGCAAAGGGAGCCTATGCGCAGTTCTTTTGCAAGATTCATCCTTGGGGCTGCTGGCGGCAGCTCCGCATACGAGGGTTCCCAAGCGTAAGCGGCCTTGACTACTGGCGCTAACAGGATAGGAAGTTAAGGCCGAGGATCTGGGCTCCACGTGTCCATTCTCTGTCCCAGTTTCAGAACCCCGAACCAAATGAAAACGACACAAAGGAACCTAGAGAATGCGGCCCTCCAAAAGAATCAAATCAATGACCGGGCATGCCCGAAAACAAAAGCAGCCCCTAAGCAGCCTGTATAAATACTTTTCCTGGATGTATGAGTGCAACAGCTCACAACTTCGAAGTTTCTTCTTGGGCCCATGTCTTCCAGCTCCCAATTCCAGGGTTCACATTCTCCCATCAATAGTGGAACATGGGTATCTTCGCACTCATGCCACTAGCATAGGCATACAGTAGGCAAGTTGTGGCAATATTTGCGAGCATTGTAAAATTTTGCGCTGGCTGTGCGCATGAGCGCAAATCAACAACAAAATGGACTTCTGGCCCAAGGTGAGGCTGGCTGAGACGGACTCACAAGAACATGTGTTTCCAACACAGCCATCGCAACGCGCGAAAGCCGCAAGCGCGAAGGAAAGGGAAGCACTGCTGCCAGCGACCATACCGTCAAAACAGCCCTTCTCACTCCCTTCACAAGGAAAGAAGGAGTGAGCCAAAGCTTCGCTACCGGTGTTGACAATACAGGGAGATCCCAAAACACAACAGTCACTGACAGCACTCCCGACTTTCATCCAAACGTATGGTAACGGTTCCCGCCCACTCCGCCCACTCGAGCGAAATGGGCGACAAAACGATTGAGAATCCATTGATCAAGTGAGGGCTTTTCTGTTTGACCAATAATTCCCCAGATAGCGAAGCTATGGGGTTCTTACTTCAAATAACAATGAGTTGCCCGTGCGCGCTTTCGAGACAGGTTGCTGGTGCTGGGTGCCGGTGCTGGTGCTGGCGCTGCTGGCTGTGCACGTGGTGGAGAGGCCGGTGCTGGTGCTGGGTGCCGGTGCTGGTGCTGTGAGCTGGCTGTGCACGTGGTGGAGGCAGGTTGCTGGTGGTGGGTGCCGGGTGCCGGGTGCCGGTGCTGGTGCTGGTGCTGTGAGCTGGCTGTGCACGTGGTGGAGACAGGTTGCTGGTGCTGGTGCCGGGTGCCGGTGCTGGTGCTGGGTGCCGGGTGCCGGTGCTGGTGCTGTGAGCTGGCTGTGCACTTGGTGGAGACAGGGTGCCAGTGCTGGTGCTGGGCGCTGGCTGCGCGCGTGGTGGAGACACGGTGCCGGGCGCCGGTGCCGGGCGCCGGTGCTGGCTGTTCGCCTAGTGTTTCTTACTTTTTCAAACGACAATGAGCTGGCTGCGCGCAGGGTGCCGGTGCTGGGTGCCGGTGCAGGGTGCTGGTGCTGGCTGTGTTGCTGGTGCTGGGTGCTCTGAGCTGGCTGTGCGCGTGGTGGAAACAGGATGCCGGTGCTGGGTGCCGGTGCCAGGTGCTGGTGCGGGCTGTGGGCGCGTGGTGGAGACACGGCGCCGGTGCTGGGCGCTGGCAGTGCGCGTGGTAGAGACAGCAGGCGCCGGTGCCGGTGCTGTGAGCTGGCAGTGCGTGTTGTGGAGACTGGGCGCCAGTGCTGCGTCCTGGCTGTGCGCCGCGTGGTAGAGACAGGGTGCCGGGTGCCGGGTGCTGGGCCGGGTGGTGGCGCCGGTGCTCGGTGCTGGTGCCCGCTTCTGATAGTGCAGTGCGCTGTGGAGGTGCCGTATTCTGGCTGCGCAGGCTGCGTGCATTCTTGTTCCAGCCAGTCGCATGTCAACAGGTCGTGGGATTCTGCCTAGCTATCTGGGTCTATGCTGGTGTAATTTATATAATTCAATTCCACTTGCTTTTGTTATCCTCACTGCAGCTGAGCAAACCGGCAACTAGCCAAGCGCACACGACATGTCTTTGCCATGCTAGTTTGATGTCCCTGTCTTCAATTCCGAGTGCGTGCCATCATATTGTCTATTGTACTTCCCACTCAACAGTACCAACTACCAACTGTCGGACAAACATGGTAGCCCAAACCTGTCCATGGTTCAGTGCGACCAGAATTTTGTGAGTTTCAAAAGTGAGACTTGAACTGCCATGGTTACGCAGCTGGCCAACCTGCTTATTGCATGCACTTTATGCAGGTCGTGACGGCCACCTGCTAGCAGTCACTAGCACTAGCCATCATTCGTGCACTCATTGAGGCAGAACTTGGGAAGGGGCCTTACCTTACCCAGCAAGTCTCAAGCAAAGGCCGTGGCAAAGCACATGTGCCCCTGCCTCTTGTTCAAGAGCGGCCATAATTACCGAACAGGCCTGGTATCTTGGCGGCACTCCCAGCCTCATCCTTTGCCTCTATTTATTTGGCCACTAGCACGAAGAAGTTTGTTGAAGGCGAGTGTCGTGGAGATATCATACAATGATTAATGATCGAGTGGTGAAGCCCAACAGGTGCAACTAAGGTCCAATTCACAAGGCTGTGATGCAACATCCAGGATCAAGTGAGCAAGCCACCAAGCGAACACTGTAAAGCAAGGTGTCGGGCATCTCGTTGGCCCACAATAGGTGTGCAAGGTTGAAAAAGTTCCTTCCTCTTCCCATTCTTGCGTGGCCCACGGAGGGTGTGCAAGCCCTTCCAATATCACAAGTTTCCCACTGTGTTGTACAGTATTCCGGTTGGAGACTCAGAGATGGGAGGACAAAAGAGTACTAAGGAGTTTTCAACAAGCTGTTCTACTGTACCCTGATGTGTGACCAACTCATGACGTCTTAATTACTCCATACTGCCTGTCTTTTCTGTGCTCATACCAAGGCATCACTTTGCTCAAAATTGAAATCACAACCAGCGGAGCCTCGCCTGAGCTTCAGCAGATTCAACTACAGGATTTCCATCCAGTGACAACTCCCGCAGGTTCGGGATTGAGCCCAAAGCACGTAGCCCCTACGCCAGGGACTAAAGAAACAAAGAAATCTCACGACCACACAAATCAAACAGAACAGGCACGCCTCGTGGGTAACAATGTGATTATGCGAGGCAAACACTCTCTGAAGTTGAGGCACCTGATGCAAGCACACGATGGAGCGATTCAAAAAGGTCGTAAGGGGAGCAAACCTGAACGGAAGTTGTTCTGGAATCTTCAAATAGAATCCAACAATCGCTGTCAAATTCAAGTCACCTTTTCAAGCCCAAAAGTGCTGGCAATGGCATTGCGACGGATATTCCTGAACCATGCAGCTGCAATTCTGTTCAACCCCAAATGGCAACGAAGTGTCAAGAATCACGCGGCACAACTGGACAGCCGATGTGTATTTCAGACAGAATCCAGGAAACTGCCGAGCATCAACTCCATCAACGCAGCCAAGCCATCCAGGCCGGATATCTGCTGCAGTAAATTGCCGGCCAAGTTCAGCACGCCTGGGTGTTCCACATTAAATGCCTCATATAACTTACATAAACTCTGGCAAACCTAAACATCCAAATCTGCCTTCTCGCATCCAAGCATCGAAGGTGCTTCAAATGGCTGATGTTCTGAACTTCCCTAATGCGGTTGCTATGCAAGTCAAGGACATCCAGCTTCTCCAATGCATTCAGCTTTTCAATGCGCATGATCTGATTTTTTCCAAGCATAAGAACCTTAACTCAGTGGAACACCAACATATTTTTGAGGTTCATTTACTAAAACAATTTCTCGAGACAGTCAATTCCGAAAGCATGGCACTGAGCCATATAATATTTACTGCATGTGGTATGCAAAAAAACAACAGGATTAAAGAGCGGACGGAGCCAAAAGCGTCCTCAGTCGAGATCAGTACGGCCTGGCCATTTTCAGCCGGAAGGCTCGCAAATTTCTGCACCCATCCTTGCAACGAAACTATGACATCTGCAAAACAAGCATGTCCAAATATGACCCTGTGCAAATGGGCGCATGTTTTCTCAATTTAGCTCGGGTGGAAACCTTGATGGATTGAAGGGTCGTATGTGAAGTCTTATGCTGAGACTTACGCTGGCCTTGTGCGCACGCAGTTCTAGCTTATGCAAATGGTTTGTTGTAGATTGTACTTGTGAAAAAGGACACCGTTTGGGGCCGTTGTAAGCGCGGCAACTCCTCAGAAGTCGAGACTGTCTTTATGCCGTGCTTAGACAGAGCTTACGCCAGCCTTACGCCCAAAAATCTCTACATTGTCCGTACGGGGGGGGGGGAAGTAAAAGTCCTTACACGTGATTATCTACTACAACGGTTTGACACAAACTCTGCACAAAGGACACTGTTCATCAACATGTTTTGTGGTGTTTGCATGGATGTTGCAGCAAAAAAGTTCAAAATCAATCGTTAATGATTGGCCCTCACGCCACTTGGTATGTTACAAAAACCTTACGCAACCTTACGCGTGGCAGACTTTTCCTTGCGCCAACCCTGCTTATGACCAAGCTCTTGACCAAGATGTAAGAGGTTGATGGCATAGCTTAAATGCTTCATGGAGCACATCATTACCGTATTATAAACAAATTAATATTTGATCTGGCGACCAAGTCGTGAGAAGGACCCATCAATAGAATATGCCCTGATGGGCACACAAACGGCGTTCTCCGGTGATATAGAAACTAAGCCAGTGTAGAGTCAGAGTTCTAGGGGATAGCTACAGTATGGAATGCTATGGATAGCCCTCTCTCTCTCTACATGTATTTCTTTTAAACTTTTAAACGTATATAGTATAAAATGTATACATTGCCTAGGTTTGCTTGGACCAAATATGTCTTGTTGCTCTTCTTCGGTGTCTACATCTTCACTGGCAACAATCAATTTTTAAAGTGCGGCGAGTCAACAACTCGAATTGTTGCTTGAAAAAGTGTTTGCATCATTGTCAAGGAAGGAAACAAGTTGAACCTGTAGACCTGCGGACATCAGGTCGTTACTTTCTCCACAGAACATGTTCAGCTCATGGCCGTCTTTTTCATGTGATGACACCTAACCAAATCTAGCGAGATCATCGGCTCCTGAATCTAAATTTCTGACATCTGCACGTCAGTATCACTAGGACCTCTGATTCATGGGGTGGGCCAAACATCACAATGCCTTTCACACAAACAGATTGATTCCATCTTGAGCACAGGCTCCAAATTCTCAATGTTTTGAATCCTGTTGTCGTATAGATCGAGAAAAGCCAAGTGAGGCAAGCCATCCAAATGCTCAATGCCTTCAGTGTCACTTCAGGAAAGTGTGCAAGTCTGATCTTTGCACCAATTCCCAAGTCAAATATTTTCACACCTTTTGATGTTTTTTATTTTTTTCCGGTGCCCGTGCTCAAAGCCGTCAAGAGTCGGGCAATCGCATTGTTCTGGTAATTCCTTGCAGGCAAGGAGGCATTGTACTGAACGTCTGCAACACCCACCGCAACTTTCGGCATCTCTGAGAATACTGATTTTGTCATGCTCTGCCAAGCAACAACAAACGCAGCATTCCCTCCTCTTCCAGAACAGGACATCGACCCAACCTAAATTGAAGAATGCATGATGGCCTGAGTGAATGTTGTTCATGCATATTGTCCTGTCAGTGCTGCAAGGTAGCTGGCGTCGGTCCAAATGCAAATGTTCAGGAGAACTTTCACGTGCCTTGCTCGACCTACGCGCGACTAGCACGCGAGGTGCCCGCGGTCGGGCCACAATGGCCAGCTCCTCAGGCAACGCGATGTGAGTAGGGGCATCCAGGACCAGTAGTCACCAACGTTTATGTTATTTATGTACATCAAACTATGTGCCGATTTGGCACACATTGCTCGAGAAGTAACCCTGCCTGATGGGGTTGCCATTTGAAAGAAATCGGAGGTACAAAACACCAAAACTACTAAAACCATCCACATCCAAATTCCTCTTTCCTACTCTTATTGCATCAGGCCGCACCAATCATTTCCCTCAACTTTTTTGCCCTTCTGTAATCACATGCCTTGTGCCCTGGCACTGCTCCGAAAACACGACTCAAAAGGCTAAAATACTTATGTAACAAGCTTAACACTACTGTTCACTCTGGTGGGTGGCAGCTCCGTTAGTGTGACTATGATGACGAGAACCTGGACCTTGACCAACTGCAGCATGTGGTGATCATGTTCGCCCCAGCATCCGGAGTGAATTCAATATTTTGTGCCCGGCATAGCTGGCAAAGGTTTTCAAAGGCTTCATCAGCTTTGGGGTCCTTGGTCGCCTGGCAAGCCAGGTGGAGTCATCGCGAGATCACCCTGCATGTCTGCAACTTGGATGTGTCCATTGAAACAACTTCCAGCGAAATCGAATCCCAAACACGCAACGTGACAATACTTCCTATTACACCGACGGACTGAAAGATAGAATGCCTGCCCAAAACTGATCACTACAGTTAGAATTTAGAATGCCAAAATCGGCTCGTCCGGCACAACATCACCGGACAGAAATCCACAAGTCTTAGAATGCCGGCTTTGGGGGTTGTAGCGTTCTATCTTTCAGTCCATTTGTATACGAACATAAATGTACATATATAATATATATATTACATATACATATATGTGTACAAAGAGGTGAGATGCAGCAAGCAGTGTTGCAAAAGCGGGTCTGTTTCCCTTACGCCCATTCTGTTGATGATCCGGCTTTGAAAGTTGCCTTCCACGGGGAGGTTGTCTCCCATAATATGAATCCTGCACAGCATTCTGGAGAAACACAAGTTTAAGTTCCCTCAAGGAAAACAGCCATGCGACCATGCTCTTCGGTAGGCAGACTCACAAAGAAGGTGCTGCCTTGCTTTTCTAACGACTTTACAGGGTGTGCAAAATGTCTATACTAGGCTATGATGAGTTAGGAGTTGGCATTCCAGAAAGTTAGGCTTTACCAGAGGCGCAGTCCTAACTCATGTGTCTCTGTCAACCAGAGACGAAAAAGAATTTCGCACCAGAGCAAATCAGAAAGGAGTTATGAGAGCAAGAGTGCAAACAACTCCTAGCTCATGGTTCATAAACTGCCACAAAATTCAGAGAAAGAGCTCTCAAGAGATATCTTTACAAACCTTCACAACATACATATTTGCCATCAACACCATATGAGTTAGGAAGGCGATCCACAAAAAACAAAACAACAAATCCTAACTCATGAACCGCTGGAGCCATCCTTTTTGTTGGTCCGCACCCCTCCCAGTTTCCAACACGACATGAGTTAGCAAGACGACCCGCAGAAACAAACTAGACGACGAGTGGCCCGAAAGCATTTTTCATCACGTAGGAAGTCAGAGTGCGAGTTATCTGTTAAGTGTGCATTGTGAAGTGTTAAGTCGAGTGAGTTGAGGTAGTGTGTGGGTTTCTGTGTGTGTATCTATGTCCGTGTGTATATGAGTCTGCGTATGTGTGTGTGTTCGTGTAAGTTGAGGCAGTGCGTGGGTGTCTGTGTGTGATGCGGCCTCCCAAACCCCCACCGGCGGCCAAGCGGTGACAGCCCAGCTCATCGTCATGAGCATTTGAGCTGCTGGTAAGGGGAGAAGCAGCGTGCGCGGCGCCAGGAAAAGCTCACGGAAAAAAGCGAGCCGGAATGAAGACAGAAAAGTGCCGAGGCAGGTACGCAACAAGTGTGTCAAAGCAGTGACCTGTCAGAGGAGATGCGTCCAGCGATGTACGATCAGAGGTAGCGTGCTAAAGTTGTACTACAAAGTCGCCAGTTCTCAGCTTCCAGCTCCACA